ATATATATATATATATATATATATATATATATATATATATATTACTTTAATAGCTTTTAATTTGATATCTTTATCTGATTTGTCTCTTTTGGGGGCAGCCTGAGGACAGGCATACCCACACCCTCGTGTTTAAAAAAACATGTGATGGCTCGATGTGAATCTATGTGGCTCCATCTCAGCCGATTACACAGAGGCCAGTGTGTGTCCACTGACGGGTTTATGTGAGGATAGCATTTGGTTTACTTTGCCATGGATCGAAGAGACAGAATGCACTGAGATGGCTTTGCAACTGTTGGGGAAATGAGATCAACATGTCTATTCAGGCAAACTGACAAGAGAGTGTGTTTGTCTATAAGTAGGATTGAAGTGTTTCTTTCCTTTTTGTTTTTCTGTTCATCCATGATTTATTTTTTTATTTTTTACATTTTTTCATATTCTAACCCAAATCTTACAGTAACAATGTAAAACATCACATTGATCCAATCCCCATGTTTCCTATCTTAGCATTTAGACACACCTTATGAGAAGCTGCTTACTTACATGATGAAGAAACCTTTCTGCTGAAAAAGGGAATCTCATCACAACTGAGTGAATGATGATTTAAAAAAATTAGATTATATAAGCTAAATAATATTCTGCCCCTCCCCCAAAAATGGCCAAGTACAAAATTCTGTAAGGTTTCAAACAAACATTTTCAATTGACTTTGTTGGAGGCCCTTCCTACATCTAATGCAACAATTAGACAGATATGCAATTATTGACTAACATATTATTAATATAATATATATATTACAGTCAATATGGTCAGGCTATAATAGGAGTTATCTTTTAAAGTGTTGTGGCAAAAAAATTTTGAATTTATGATCTTTATTAATAAGTTATATTACCTGGTAGCTCAATAGAAGTGAGAATCTTTTCTAAACTTGAAGATTTATCTTATTGTAATTCCTTTTTTGAAAATTTTGGGCCAGCAGTGGCCATAGCTCTGCTTGGGTGCAATCATGATTTGGTGCATTGTAGCCAGGTGTACTTTAACTACTTTACAGAGTTTTGTTTTTTAGGTAAGTTATCTCAGATTTTCACTTCATATCACTTGATTTTAAAAAGCTGTCACTGAGTCTCAAAGTCCTACTTTGCTTCTATAAACTATGTCCTTTCAGGTGTTATGCCGCCCCTTTTCAAACATGTAATGGTAAATTTTGCCCTCCTGCAGATCCAGAGTCTCAGAGGAAAAGGACGGTGCAAAATGTGCTGGACCTTCGTCAGAACCTGGAAGAAACCATGACCAGCCTAAGAGGGGTTCAGCTCAGCCACAGGTCAGCTTCACACACACACCTAAACACACACCCCCACTCACAGAATGTAAAAGAGGAGAAAGACATTATTGGAAAACAAATGCTAAGAAGGAAACACAGCAGAATCTCATTTGACATTTGAACCAGTGTTTTGGTTGAGTTGGTAATCAGCCTGTGGGAAGGCAGATCAATAACAGTCTTTCTGTTTGACATACAGTGGTTAGCCTGTTCTCCAGTCTTGCTCTCAGTCTTGTTTGCATCGTGATACAAAACATGATTAGTTTAAAGCTGAATCCAAGGCAAATCTTACATTTCAATGCTTAAATGCATTGATGCTTGAAATTCCTAAATTTAAACACGTTAGGATGTCCACTCCCTTCCTCCTGCACCAGTGTAAGTTGTGTTCATGCTGTCCTTGTCCTTGAAAGCTTCTCTTCCCTTTGCATCCTCTTGCTATATATCCTATCCCTCAGCAGGAACACTCCACATGTAGAGCGACTCAGCAGATGGTTCTCTGCTGGAAAACATTTCCTCTCTCTGATATACTTTTATTATACTGTAATAACTTTGAGTCAGGAAAGATTGATTTCGGTTTAACGCACACAGTCTACTGTATGTATGAATGTATCATGTTCTAATAGAGCATCATAAATCCTCTGCAAGTTAGTTATTTGCATTTCTTAAACAAAAAGCTTTTCAGGAAAGCTAGATATTTTGCTACACATCATTTATCTCTTATATTGTATCCATGTGAAATGCTGTGAAGTTTTTTTTTAAAAAGAAAATGGGCACATTTCTTTCTCCTGATGACAATTCTTCAATGGTACAGAGAACTCCCTGTTAGGATATTTCTATATTCTCACATCATTTGACACACTGTGCGCTTGTAGCATTTAATATGCTAATTCTCATCATTTGTAAGCCAGGTGCTAAGTAGTGATGTGCTGTGCTGTACTACTTTACACAATGTACTCATCAGGTTTTAGAGATGCTCATGTTTGTAGACACGTACACATGTTCCCTAGCAACAAAGAATAATGCTACAGTATGCAGTTTTGACTCTAAGTATAAAGCAACATGCAGACATGTTTGCTGACAGGGAAATAGCAACAAAACCTGTTCATTCACTGTGTGTGTGAGGTAGGGGATGTTTTTGTTACCTGGTGGGGACAATATCCCAGGGATATGCTACATTTTGGGGACTTATAGGTACTTGTGGGGATCAACGACTGTCTCCATGAGGAAGGGTTGTCGTCTTGGTGGGGGTTAGATTTAGGACTAAGGTGTGAATAGAGTTTAGGTTAGGTTTAGGGTCAGGAATGTTTTGGTATTGGTTAGGGTTAGGTCTGGGTTAGGCCATAAAAGTGATTTGGAAATTAATGGAAGTCAATGGAAAGTCCCCACAAGGATAGAGTGACACAACTTATGTGTGCGTGTGTGTGTGTGTGTGTGTGGAGAAATATACAAAGGAGAGCTCTAAGCATTAACACTTGCACATCCCAAATAAACCCTAACCCTTTTAAAACTAGTGCATAGTGAGGGTGTGTTCAATAAGAAGAAGGTACATCCACCGTAAGTAGGAGAAGATATAGATATATTGTAGGTGAAAGATGTTCCTTTATAATGATTTAGAGCTACATGAAAGTATTTTATTGTTCATGAATAAATTGGTCTCATAGCAGCTAAATCAATCTGTAGGGATCTTTCTTTACAACGTATCAAAAAGAACTAAAAGAATTAGTATAATCATTCAAAATGTGAATTTATTTGAAAATTATTGTAAAAAAAAACATTACTGCAAATAGAAAACAAAGAATCGATCATATTGACAGTCGACTAAAATCGACACAATATTTATATTTTTTAGTTCTTTTTAACTAAAGCAAATAAACAAGTACAAACAACGAAAGAACAACAAACAATTCTTGTATTATATTCTGTCCTCTAGATGCTGAGGTGAATTATGGGAACCTTTTCAGGCTGTCAGATAAAATAAAATCCGATTCTAAAAGGTAGTTTTACTTGAAAGTTACTCGAAATACAGTACGACTCTGACTGTTTCACCTTTTAAAGAACCAGACACGGTCTCTGGTGACTTGCAGCACTGGACATTCAATTCAGCTCCTTTTTGATGCAACATGCTTTTTAACTTGGTTAAAAAAACAGCACACAGGGCTGTAAATCATAGTAAAATTTGACTAATGTTTGGATGATCAAATACTTGTATTACATTTGATTTTAAATGTTTAAGTCAATTTTTCAAACCTCCTAAATAAAGTAGCTGGGTTAAGCAGATGAATATAAGAGGTGTGGAGAACATAGATTCTTGTGTAAACGCTGCACCACTTTTTTTTACCAGAATTTTTACTTTTAACAAAGTTGTAAAATTCTGACTTTTTACCAATTTGTCTGTTTTTCTATTCTTTAGCTGTGCAGAGGGGACCATCCACTATGACAGTGATGAAGCCGCTGCCTTCTCAATCTCCAGCCTCTCCAATCGCTCCTCTCCCCTCTCGTGGCGCCATGGTCAAGCCAGCCCTCGTCTGCAGGCTGGTGACGCCCCATCCACAGGTAGCGCTCCATCAGACGTTCCCCTACGCATCAGCCACAACTCACGTATCCACCTCATTGAAGACTTGGAGGATTCAGATCCGTCCCTCCTGAAGGTAGACTACCTCAGTGACAGCGATCTTGGTGGGAAGAATCCAAATGATGACTACGAAGACGACGGCGATGATGATATTGATGACCTCGGGAATGGGTGAGTGTGCACTATCTGATTTGAAAAACCTATGTTCACCCCACCTCTGTAATTAATCCATGAAATTGAAGCGGGAAATTATCACTCCATCTGTAATGAATTGCAGCAGTACCCCCTACCTCGCAACCTCATGTCAGCTGTTGCCCCCCTCAACTTTGAGAGCCTTCTTCTGTCACTATGAGGCAATGCTGTCACTGTTATAGTAGCCCCATGCAGAGATCTTCCCATTATTGAGCTGGCTAAAGATGTAAGCATACTTCCACATAGAAGAACCTGCTGACAAATCTAGAATACTGAGGTCTTTGGAAAACTTTTCTGTCTGTAGTTACATATACAAACATAAACTCTTACTCTGGAAGTATGGTTTAAAGTCATCTTAGATTCTTTACACCACAATATTTAATAAAAACATCTTTAATCAAAACACTAATTCATTTTTGTATAAATCAGCATGATGTTGAACATGTGTTTATTTGTTTTGGCCTTTTTCAGTTTCTTTATTTTTAGCAGAAAATAATGCATAACTTAAAAAGTGAAAGAATATGTGGTTGCCTGCAAAAGAGACGAGAAATTATCCCAGTTAAGCTCATTTTTCTTAACTTTTCCAACAACATGGCATCCTGAGAAATTTGTCACAAATGAACAAAAGTTGTTTGCTCAATAAGAGCTGAATCACTTGGATATGTCACAAAGGACAAATCACCATAAAAGCTGAGGTGGTACTTCAAATATCTACCGGTAATTATTTCATCTCAGCAGGAATAATAACCATATCTCCATATGATTTTTTTTTTATCTGATCTCCATTTTTTGTTGAGCTGTTACCTGGCAATACTGTGTGAAGACTCCAACATTTCTAAAAGCTACATGTTCCCTAATAGATAGAGGCTGAAACCTTAAAAAGGCAAAACAGAGAAATGTTTCTGTAATAATGTAATGAAACCCTCCTGGTTACACTTTCAATTAGCTCCTTGTCCCCAAGGTGGGTATAAACTGAATTTCTGTGCCGAAAAGAGTAAAATTACCTGCCTACACATTTAGCTCTCTTTAGTTGCAGCATGAAAAATTGTCCAAAATCTCTTTATAGAAAATAAAACTCTTTTTAAATAGTTTCGTACTGCTTTTTCACACTTAATTTGTAAATAGTACATTGATACCAAAATAAAGGCTGTGAATATTGGCTGCGTGGGGTGGTTGCTGGTGTACGGTGTGTCCACCTCAGAAAATCATCAGCTCTTTAAGTTCCAGGGGGTTATTGTGGATTCTGGGATCTGGATCTGGTCATTGGCATGATGCTGGGGACCACCATGGACAGGTGGCAAAGCTATCCCAGGGCAACGCCGAGACAAACTGCACAAAAAAAACAAGCACACACACTCAGCTAATCTCTAATTCATATTTTAAACAGTGAGAAGAAGCTGTTTTGCCCACAGTCAACAAAACACATTTCTTGCATGCATTTCTAATCAGCACATTTTATAGCCTAAATCAGGCTAATGCGTTATGAGCATGGTCTGTTGTGCTACGTTCCATCAATTATGTGTTTTTTTTTCACAATTGGATCAATATGCATGATTCCCCAATTTTCACACAGCTTAAGAAGCTGAGTCATGCTTCCGTGACCGAGTCTAAGGGGCGCTAAACAAAAACACAATATCTCATTGTGAGCTTGGCTGAGTGTTTGTCAGCTGCAGTTAGAGTTTGTCCAACAAATTGGAAAAAAAAAACTCCTTTCAGGCCACAGCTTGACATTTCCATGGTAATCGCAAAAATGCAAACCCAAGTCCCAGTAAAAAACAGTTGCAACACACAGTTAAAACCCTGGCCCTTTGTTTCAGGTCAGGTTATTCTTGGTCATTCAGGTTCTACAAAGGTTGTTTTTGAGGAGACAACTTGACCAGGCCAATGTTCACAACACGGAAATGACTTTCAGACAGAGAAATGTCGCCCTATAACCGTAAACAAACTCTCTTTTATTTGCTTAAGGACGAGATGATAGAGATTGTCATAATTTTGCCCAAGAAATGCTGATTTTTGCTCTTAATTGGAAGTAAAATCTTTAAGGCAACAAATGTGTAACATATATCTATATTAAGCGTAGTCTATAAAAGATCAACATTGATTAAAATTCACAATCTCTCTCGATTAAATCATTTTTGAATTATCTTATCACTTAAACAACCACTTTTGAATAACCATAGAGTGTAGTTTGTTCTTTATAGTGCTTTAAGTTATCTTGTGAGCCCTAAATAATGAGTTAATTGGCCTCTTATTTTCCAATATTTTACTATATCTTTTCCACTAGAGGGCAGACTGGTGCTTCCGTCCGTTTTTTCCCTGATGCTGTCCCTCCCCCCTAACAAATTAAAAGGGAGCATTCCTGCTGAATCCTCTCCATTTTAGCATAATTTATCAAACATCCTGATACATTCTGCTTTCAGACTCTACTAATGTCATATACAGGTCACTGTACTCTTTCATATCTCATCTTGGCATATATAATACATAGGATTTCCCCGATGCATAATGCATTTCTTTGTCAGGGTTATACTTACCTCATCTCTTTGTTCAGCTGAAGGGAAATTAGATGGAGGGGTACATATGTGAATTTGTCAATAAACAGAGCTTAAGTTGACACCTTATTCTCCATGACTCACTGAAGTTAAGAAATGACACAAACTCCTATAGAAAGGTGAACTTGCCGTGACTATAAGACGACCTTGCTGTGCATAGACTCCAAATACTCGCAGGTTATAATTCCAGCTGTCAGTTATTAGTTTCCTGTTTGTTTTAAGCAGGGGCCCCAGCCCTTATGATGAATTCCTCCTCCATCTGGTTCCAGGGACCTCCTAGTCATCCCATACAGTTACTCATTCTCATTCACGTACGAGTCAGTCTTACCGGGAAGCTCTGACAGAGTTGAGAATGAGGAGAATGCTCCTTTCTGGCTGAGAATGTCTGGTAACTAGGGGATGTTAAGATCAAGGATATTGCAATGTGTTGGAATTAAAGTTTTATTTTGTCTGTGGAGCTTTTGAAAAAGCAATAGCCTTAGATTTACTCATTCACCAATTCATGTAAACTTTCCTGTAGGATTGTGTAAACCTATAAACAACTTCAAATGTAACGCTTTAAACCCTTTTGACATAAAAAATGTAAGGCAACGTACCAGTAAATCATGTTATGATAATGTAATCTAAAGGATTTAATCTGGTAAATTGGTATGTTTCTCTTTTTAAAGGATGTTAAGGAATGTATTGAAACAGCCAGAGCTAATGATGGTTTTATCATATGAATAAAGGTCCTTTGTGTTTTCATGTTTTTTGCTCAAATTGAACTGTTATATAACATCATGTAGCCTGAAGACAACGTCCATGTCTGTGTCCGAACGTCTGTCCTAACCCCTAAATCCCTTACCCACTATATAGAGCAGGGAGTATCTAGTGGACTTTAAAGTGAACTCAGCTGACTGCCCTTTAGGACAGATGATCACTACTTTTCGCTCCCCGTTGGTCACGTAACTCCGCCTCCCGGCACGGTGCCTGCACCATCTCTGTTAATTGCCGCCACTGTCGTGTAGCGACAGCCTATGGCAACAGCAGGCCACTGTGACAACAAACCCCTTGCTTTGCGAGGAGACCTCTCCTCGCAAACCATTCCAGGATGTATCTGCTCGTCTAGTGACCAAGGATGATTACTACTTTTCAAGGTGCATTGGGGGAAATTTCGAGTTCACTACTTTGTCCACTAGATATTCGTACATTCATCTAAGATGGTGTAACTACTATATAGTGTCCTGTATAGTGGTAAGGGCAGACATTCGGACACAGTCCATGTTTCTGATTCTTGCATCAGGAGTGAGAGGTCTTAGGTTCCTATCTGGGTTGATAATCTTCTGACAGCCTGATTAAAATATTAAAATTAATATGGAGAAAATAACAGGACATAGATGTCATTACTAATGAACAACATTACTAATGAATTACTAATGTCCAAGGCGATTAGGGTGACCTCACCACAGCCTGTAGAAGTCCTATAGACAAACAACACAAATCCAGACTCCCAGGTGGCGAGGTCGTCATGCCACTTTGTTGTTACAAACACTATTGATTCCAATTTTGTTGTTTGACCTTTGTTTATGTGTTTTACATGCACATATACAAAAGTCCGATCCACTATGAGTGTCTGGCTCATTTTCTGCTTAGCTAGGTGCAGACGCTTTAGCCCATGGATGGAAGAGCACTCATCCTCAACACCAGACAGCAAAAGAGATCGGTTCACTGCACTAAGTGCCTGAATTATGAAAGCATTTGTTGTGGAGCAGGACAAACATCCACACACATTCATACACACACACACACACATAGACAAAAACCTTCTTTTTATTAGGCAGTTAGAGGGTTTCACATCATCTCTTTTGTATACAAAGAAAGTCATATGGAGATTGTTTGTCACTGACTACAACAGCCGACCTCTCGTATAAGGAGTTCATTTTAAACTGACTAAGCAGCAAAGAAGCACTCTTGCGGTATTATAATGTCTGTTGATTATGTCAAAATGCTGAGTTTGCATCAAGCTACACTGTTCATCTGTCTGGCTATGTTTCTCAGCGATGACGTAACCCGCTTGGGATATAACAGCAGGGGGTCCCTGACAATAATAATGACATTAATCTGCCAATTTGCTAAAATGACACACAGCCTCATATCCTCACGTGCACATAAACATATTCCAAAATGCTTGGTGATTTAACAACGACTAAGATATGGAGATTCAGAGGGATTTAGAGCTTATAATATTCCTAACATCTACAATCTCATTCATTCATCCATCAATTGTCATCTGCTTATCCGTGACCAATAACCTACTTATTTTGTTTGTTTTGGAAAAAGAAAATAGGTAGAAATAATTCACAAATAAATAGCACTTCATTACAAAACACAGAACAGCTTAAGATGTGAAACTATAAATAAAGTAATTAACTTCTAAGGATGTTAACA